TAAAATTGTAGCTGTAATAAATCAGCTAAGAATGAAATGCATTTTACCATACTGTAATGTTAAGAAATTTGATATATATATATATATATATATGTCCAATTTCTTTTTTTAATGTGTATTGGAAGGAATTCTCGATTAATGTTTGGAATAAGTTTGTGATGTAACTTTGGAATAGAGCCTTTAATAATACAGAATTGAAGATAAAAACAAAGACAGTTGTACATTTCACACAAACTTCATTTATTCATGACCATGGTTTCGCTAGTAAAGGCATCATCACTTACAGACTGAAAATATTATATTTTTTGAAATAACTTTTGATGTGAATTTTGGAATGAAGCCTTGAATATTGTTTGATATTATCTTTGGAATAACTTGGTACTTCTAAAATATATTTAGTATAACTTCTGACACACTTTTGTGTAGCTCACAGGAGCTTTTACTAATCTTTATTTTTATCAAACATCAGGATGTTTACTAGACAGTTGGGATTTTCCAAACCTGTGTTCTTGAACTTCAAGTTTCTGGTGTCAGGTATCATTATCTAAGTGTATCTGCTCTTTACACTCCCCTGGGATGGGTCATTGGTCTGAAGCCAGTGATAATTTTTGTCTGAATAAACTATCTCTTCAATGGTTCTTAAATAACCTTGATCCAGGATTACTTTATACTGTTCTTACCCTAGTGTGCAGAACCACAGTAAATAAAAACACTCATATCAGTAGGATTGTGTGTCACTGTATCCTAGAGTGCAAAACCACAATAAGTAGGAGCACACTTATCAGTAGGATTGTGAGTCACTGTACCCTAGAGTGCAAAACCACAATAAGTAGGAGCACACTTATCAGTAGGATTGTGAGTCACTGTACCCTAGTGTGCAAAACCACAATAAGTGTGTAAATATCAGGTAGGATTGTGGGTTACTGTACCCTAGTATGCAAAACCATGATAAATATGAACATGTTTATGGGGTAAGATTATGTACCACATGTAATTTTGTGTTATATTTTATCCTATGTATGATTAGGACATTATGTTTATACATTGTGATAGAAAGTTAAAAGTATGTTTGACTTCCCACAAATACTATATTTGTTTTCTAAAGCAGACTGTATCCTTAGTGTTCAGCTAGTCCTGTGTTAATAGCTAGAAACCATAGAAATTTACTGAATTATCATACATACAAAATAAGTAGAACATTTTGTGTGTCAGAAGCACAAAAACTGAGGTCATAAGCATCAATCGAGATGGAAAGTACTAGGGAGGTTAAAGTTAGATAATATAAGGGAACTTTGAAAAAAAAGTCACGAAAGACCTAGAAATGTTAAATAAAACAAAATTCTTTAATTAACAATTGATCCACCAAAGTCAGTGTGAAATTTCAGTTGGACAACATGTTTATGATTGCCTGGATTATTATTATTATCTTTTCTAAGAAAAGTCAAGTAAAATAGAATTTTGGTTTTTGTGACTATTATGTTGTGCACTTACTGGAGATGAACAAATAATGAATGTAGGGGGCTCTAAGTAAAAGAATAACTATCAGAATAAACACACGTATATACATATATATATACACACATAAGCATGGGTTTTTACTTAGTCACACTTCACTATTATAGTTGGTTTTATTATAAGTTTGAATGGATTATTCAGCATTTCACACTAAGATGTTGTAATTTTTTTTCTTTTCAGGCCAATTATTCAATGTTAAGATTCCAAATGTAGACGAAGATTTTATTCAGAACATCATCAACCAACCTCTAGGTATCATCATCCTTGGACAAAACTGTTGGGCTAAAGCAAGTGTTGTGAATGAACTGTTTGGACAGCCTCTTCTGCCAACATTCTCACCAGGTCATGATAATGAAGATGAATGTTATAGCTGGAGGATGGTAAGCAATGTTTTGTGTGTATTTTGATATTGTAAAACAAGAGGAAAAAATAGTTAGGTAAACATTGTACAGGGTTAGTTAGGTAAACATTGTACAGGGTTAGTTAGGTAAATATTGTACAGGGTTAGTTAGGTAAATATTGTACAGGGTTAGTTTGGTAAATATTGTACAGGGTTAGTTAGGTAAACATTGTACAGGGCTAGTTAGATAAATATTGT